CTGCTAAATGAAGTTTTACATTTTTTGCGTTAGTGAAGTTAGATGTATCATAATGTCGTCTGCGCTTTCTGACCATGAATCTGTATTTAACCACCTCTTCATGGGGGTAGAATGTGACACAAAGTCGGTTTTCATGCTTTAATGTGGATTTTCCTTCTATAGTCATAAAAGGGCAAGGACAAAGGTTGTCCAGTCCTCACGATTATTGCCACGCTGACATCAGTTTTCACCAGCTTCCTCTTTAATGCAACAAGAAAGGTACTGGAAGAGGTTTCGACTCCCAGGGACTAGGCATACTACTTGATAAGCTTATGATTAAAAGAGAGAACGGATACTACACATTCATTCCAGATCGTGTGTTCGAGAATTAAACTTTCCGTGCCAAAGAAAGGTTTAAAATCTCTTCGGCTGAAAGGATTTATATGAAAATGAAACCCTTCTAGTGGTCACAGTATCCAGATGAATTATCGTTCTTGCCATGCAAGAGAATTAGTTGGAGTGTTAGACATGGCAGAGGTCCTGGTCATATATGTCCTGAGCAGCGTCAAGAAGGTTTTGATTTGCGGCTTCACCTTGCCTTAAGGCTTAAGAGTGGCTATTTTATTCATGAAAACCCCATCATTATAAATACTATATATTCATATATTGTTCCGTTATGATCTTTATATTTGTTCGTGTTAATAAAATGGTATATGTTAATTTGTACACGACATCTTTATTTATCTTGGTACCTCGAGTCGAATTTATATGTTTGGGAGCTCCTTGAGGCAGGGAGCAGTTATCCAATAACAACCCAACTCTATCAAGGTAGATCGTAGAAGTCTTCGTTTGATATACACACGAAGGCTTCTGATTAATCAACAAAGCAGTCAAAGTTTCTTAAGTTGAAAGTTTTAAAGTTTAATAAACCAAAGTATGCGTCAAGTCTCTGCGTAGAAATTGAATTTTTTTTAGTCATTCGTTACTTGTCTGTACACTTTAAACCCAAGGAATTATATATTTAATTCCACAAACTAACAACTCTCAAATTTGCCGACCAGTCACGAGATTTTGTTTCGATGTCTGAAAAGTCACATACTCTGGTTTAGTGAAAGAAATAGATAAACGGCACAACTGTAAATAATGTGAGTATTATTATTAACTGATAGCAGTGGCGGACTGGGTCGAATATTTTTACCGGGAAAACTTGTAAAAGGGCCCAGTCAAAAGGACCCACTTAATCCCAAAGGAATCAAATAAAAGTAAAGGTTTTAGGCAAATAAAATGTTATATCTTCCCAGCATCTACGCAATATTTTCTTTCTTTTTTTTTCTTCTAGTTTTTACGGTTATTTCTAAAGTGATGGACCATCACTTTGGGGCCACCGGAAATTTCCCGGTATCCCGTTGATCAGTCCGCCACTGACTGATAGTGTAACCATCCATCAGAGTTTTTCACCAACTAGACAGTTTTACCCCTCGATATGTTTTGATTTTAGTTTACTTGGGCGTGAACAAAAATGAAACTGGCAAGAGGATGGGAGGTAAAATGAGGCCATGCCGAGAAAAGAAAAAATGAATCATGTTTTCAGCATATTGGATTCATTATTCACCTGGCATAGGGTGGGGTAGGTAAGTGACTCTTGGAACACCTTTGCTGCTACTTTTATCTACTCTCATGACAGACTAACGGACCAGACCTTCCCTTTGGGCAGCAAGAACCCCGAATGTTCCTCAGTTCATCTCTGACTGCAATTATCTCTATATTTCGACTGCAAACTCCCCAATCAAAATTGACTTCTCGTGACTCTTCATCTCCATCAATTGCTTGTCACCTGCCAACCTGGCCTGATGATCAGAATTACCCACTTTTCAGTCGAATAGTATTTAATCCCCTACATTTTTACTTATATATCCATTTATTTTATTACCATTTTATCTACTTGTGAACAGCGGGTCATTGTTCTGAAGATCGCACTTGTAGATGTTACTATTTTCGCATTCATAAAACTTCAGGCCCAGATAAAATAGTTTAGAGCCCACTTGATCCTGTGAGTGTTCGAAGTGACCATTTGTGTCATAATAGAAGGGTCTCTCAATCATGGAAAGCAGAATGGAAACAATCTCCTATTGTATCGAGTAAAGAGTTCTGTTCAAAATTCCGAGAAAGTTACCGAACACTACAACAGACACCTACAGAAGGCCAGATGTTACAACAGTCAAAAAGTTGTAAGTATAACAACAAAGAGGGGTGCGCTGGTTCGAATCGATAGAGATATAATAATGATAATTATTTATTTTAAAAATCCGACATAAATTAGAATTTGCATAAAATGTATGGTTGTAGGAAATTTTGTCATCCAAATCATATCATATTAAAAATCCGAACGCCCGGATTATAAACGATAATAAAATAAAAATGAAGAAAACATGCGTATGCCTGTCAAAGAAATAATTTTATTTACAAATATATGTCCATGAATTCAAAAGAATCAAAAAAGAGTAAAAAATAGTCTTTAATTAAGTAAAGGTCTTTGGGTGATTGGTCCACAGAAAAATTTGTAGTTTAAAAAAAACTTTGATCGTTAGCGAAGATTCACTGACCAATCAGATAAAATGTTCAAAGATAATAATATTTAACTCAGAATTCAGTCCTGGCCGCTATAATGGTTGTCACTATGCTATGTATTTCAAGAGCTTAGTTTTTAACAATGTTGCGAGAGTTCGTAGGTCGTTTAAATGTTTCGCTGCCAACTTGCGAAAAGGGTAGGGGAAATAGTCATGTCGCGTAGACAACGTAGCATTTTTGAGTTGAGAGGACTTTGTTGATTGCGGGTTGAATATAGATGGACTTGTTTACTGTTCTTTTTCTTTTTATAACCTATAGGAGGATCGCAAATAAGGTCATTCAAATCGACCTCAAGTTAACTGTGATTGGTTAAAAAAAGATTTTTATCCCGTGACCTCCTCTACACTACATCCGTGCCAGTTTATTTTTTTTTAGTGAAAACTACACCTTTGTTTACCTTGAGTCTCAGGTGAAATACTTGGTAAACAAAGGTAAATAAAAAGAAATAAACTGCAACAGTATCACCACCAGTAATAATAATAGTTAACTGTTAAACAAACTTACCTGCATATGCCTTCAATGTGGCTTTTTAAAAAGAAAAATTTATCTGTAAATTATTGCATTGAAGAACACACTGTCAGATAATTTTAGTTTTAACTTTTAGAGAACTTTTTCTGTCCATTTATTCTCTTTATTAAAAAAAAAGTGTCACAAGAGAAGAGAGCTATAAAGATAACTATTAAAACTCCTGTCGCATTGTTCTCTGAAAATATAACTGCTTATGATAGATATATCAAACATCTTTAACAAAAAAAAAAAATATTAAAAAAAAAAGAAATGGGTAAAAAATACGTAAACATTTAATTTCAGCAATGCCAAAACGTAGGAAGTAAAAAGCGTATATACTGTAACTGTGTGTGTACGTTCAACAAAAGAGCCGACTAATGCCAAAAAAATAGTAGACGCTTCTTTTAAAAAATGTTTTTTAAGTTAACTTTTTTTAGGCCATATTCTTTTTTAAACTGTTATGAAAAAAGTAAAAACAACACTCACGCTTTATAATAGTTTTAATTACGGAAAATGTCATTTTTATTAATTTACACTGGAAAGAGTAAATAAATCATAAATGTAATTAATTTAATTAATTGTAATGATTTTTATAACATTTTTGCCGTGCGTAAACTAAAACTGCGTCAAATGTTTTATAAAAATTATTACGAAAAGACTAAAAACAGCTGTCTATTTTACTTTCCCCCGTAATTAAACACTTTAAATAAAATACCTAATAAAAATCTAACACCTGAAAAAGTAATAAGATTTGCTTTAGTTTAAATAAAATCACTTTAATGAGGGAACTAGAGAAAAAGGAATGCAGGGGAGAGGGTAAATTTACTAGATTATTAAATTTAAATAAAAATTATTAGTAGAATGAAAAAAGAGAAAAGGAAAACTACTACTAGAAAGTTTCAACACTTTTTTCGTTTATTAATTATTTTCTATAAATATGCCATCAATTTTGTCAAAAGTGTACTTGCAATATAAGGCCAGGAAAAAAAAAATCCTGTTAAGCGCACGTTCAATAAAAACATTCCAAAATGGAAAAGTGCGACATCGACTATTATGTTGAATGTAGCCGGCCACGCCACGCTTCAACGTCACTTGCTCTGAGAGCGAAGAAGTGCCCGACTGCAACCTAACAACAGTATTGTTGAATATGGGCGCTGGAGGAGCTATTTTTATACTGAAATAACGTGGAAAAGAGTAGCTAGAACAACTGGTATAAAACAACAATATATGCAAAAATACTTTCAGTAGGAAAGAACTCGTCAGTTGGTGCGCAACTTCGTTTCCCAGCGAAAGAGCCCAAGGGAAGGGATGGCATGATTTGTGCAGAGAACTGACTTGCTTGGTGCTAAAAATTCAAAATGAATAATTTTTTACTTTAACAAAAGTCCCTTTATTTCTTGCTATACTTTCTGAAAAGGAAATAAATAGTCTCTCTGATTATTGCATACCTGTGTGATAAAAAAAAAAAGAAGTGCAAAATTACGCCATGTGATCAGAATTGTACAACGAACGTAACCACAAAAAGTGAAGCTGAATACAGTGAATGAGTAATTTTATTTTATTATTTAACTATGACTTGAAATCATATTTTGGAATTTGTTTTTAATTTTTGGAACTTTGCACACCATTTTTTTTAATGGATGCGTTTGTTAACTGATTTTTACAATGAAAAAGTCACGAGGAGACATCATGCTCCAAAAGAGAAATATTCACAAATTAAGAATCTGAGGAGTGGATTTACCCCCTTTTTTTACGTGTATTCTCTGTCAACTTGTTGCAAAAACATACATACAACCTTGTATTTTTTTGACATGTTCTAGTAACACCGAACGGATTTTTCCCGTTGTACTCTTGAATCCAAAATAATTGACAATTTCAATTTGAATATGTCTCCAGAAAAAACTCCAGTAGTTGCCGACACCCAGGTGGCAGAAACTAAGAAGATGAACCGGGAATTGGGTTATTTTTACCTGTTCGTAGCCAGTGTTGTAGCATGTTCCTGGATATTTGGAGCCCTGGGTCTTTCTTTCATATGGACCCTTGGCCTTATCGCTATACTTTTCAGTATATGGAGAACTAAACTGTTCAACCTTATACGGAGGATTTTAGATTTGGAGCAACTCTCCATTCACAGAAAACGTGCTCTACGACAAAATGAAACCACTGAATGGTTAAACTTTCTTTTCAATCGATGGTAAGAACTTATTTTTATTTTTTTTTAAAGTATAACTTGTTGAGTAACTATCTCTTTTTTTTTTTTTTTTTTTTTGTCAGTCGACAAATTCCGAAAAATATCTAGCAATGATAGCCAAACTTCGCATAAGGGCCTCTACTCCTCTCATAAAAACCGCGTAAAAGATTAGTTAACGACAGCTACAATACAAACGATAAACACACATTACTAATCACTCGCATTCTACTAAATTCACTATCGTTTATTCGTGTAACTTAGTAACTACTTTATTGAAAATAAACGCTTAAAGTCCTCTTCAGGCGTGTTTTAGAAGTATTTTATTCTAAAGTTTAGAATAAAATACTTCTAAAACACTTCTAAACATTCATCGATAGGGCCTTATTAAAAATCTTTAAACTAGCAGAATTTTTATTTTTAAATGCTCAAAAAAGACTCGCTGTTGGCAAAATATTACCATGATATTCTTTACACAATATGAAGCTAGGTAAAAATCTTACAAATAGTAGCTACTGTCATGACAACCTGATGGTTTTACGAATGAATCTATGAATTATGCGCTGATTTTGATTTTTGAAATGTTTCCAAAAATGAGAAACAAAAATTATAAGTAAAATCATTTTTTATCGTTTAAAAAAAAAAGAAAGTATTCTTAATTCATCTTGTTTAATTTTAGCCGCGATTACAAAAAATAAAATAATTTGGGTCAAGAAAAATAAACAATATGAATGAAGAAAAAAAAGAGCTGCCGACATATGGGTCCCCGAGGCTGTTACCGTTTGTACCGCTTTCTCAGGAAATCACAGTGTAATTAATCTGACTTATGGTAAATGAATCGAGGCAAAAAGATAAAATGAATTTTTTTTTTTAACCATATATATTTCTAATTTTACCAAATAAAGCTTTGCGGGATCTGGCAAATTAAGATAGGCTAAATTAAAAATAGACTTTTTGTGGAATGCACAAGTAAAACTTGGTTGATAGAAAAAATGTAAAAATAAAATGTGCTACAAAACGAGCAATTCAAACTATATTCTTATTGCTGTTGTGTTAGTAGTTACCAAAGTGTGTGAAAAATCATTTTTTTTGTTAGACTTTGAAGTTAATACAGAATTATTTAATTAACTTGAAACTAATTAAATTTGTTAGTTAAAGAATCGAGGTTTTTACCAGCTGAGCCACTATCCCCTTCATGCTTTTTTTTAAAAGTGAGAATAACCTAATCAAAACAAAAAACATATTTAGATCAAAGATGAAATCCCCCCCCTAAAATCTCTACAGAAAGGCATCTCATCGATTTTATTGTGAAGTGTCCTTAACCTTCGACATCAAATAAGATTTAATTTTTTTAACATTTCGTTTTTCTTTACATCTCTATTTTGTACTAAATTTAATAACGTCAAGTAAAAAGTTCATTAGTAGGAATTTAATTAGCATTAATCTCCTCAGTATTATTACTATTATCTTTTTAATTTTAAAATTAAATTTTTTTGTAAAATTAAAATCGAGGTTACTGACTTGTCTAAGAACTAAATTTTTAGCTGTTGAACAAGCTTTTTTTTTTTTTTCTTTTTACACTACTTTGGCTAGTTCAGTGTGTACTTGTAAAATCTATATAGCTAGGGTTCCCATAACTTTCATACGATGAATAATAATTCAAATACGCCTTTCTTCGTTTGACAGTATTACAATTTACATTTAAGTTTTCTGATGTAAAAAAAAAAGTAAATATTGTTCAAGCGAGGTAATTACGACTGAAACCCTTTTTACTGCCATCATAAAATTACAGCGTTTGAAGAAAAAATATATTCACATAAAAAAAACTAAAAAGTTACTTTGCACGGTTTACGAATTTTGTTACATTTACAAACACAAATTTAAAAAAAATTAAAAAATGCTTAACACCTTAACAGCTTAACTACTCTCAGTTGTCAACTGTAGTTTGTATCCACCTGCATCCACCTGTAAAAAAATATTAAAAATAATGGAAGCTTTAAAAAAGAAAAAGCTATAACTAACAATATTAACTATGAACAAGGCCACAATGTACTAACCGTATTCGGAAATTAAAACATGCACACACTCAATTAAGCCGAAAACTCGAAATATCCTTGATAATGGCTAAAAAAAAGATATAGCCGAAAGCGCTCGGAACTGTAAAATCTTTGGACAGTTTTACACACTCTTTGTCCAGAAAAGAAAGCTCTTGTTCGAACACAAAAAAAATTAAATAAAAAGATTAACGGAACCCTGTCTGTCGTTTTTAATGAAACATGCATATATTAATGTTAAGTTATCTTTTAGGCCAAATTTTGCCAGGTAAGCGAAAAAATTTACCAAGTGTACTACTTTTTGTAACGTACCCATCAAAAGTAATAAAAATAAATACATAAATAATACAAAGAAAAAACACGAGAAATATGAACAGGAAAACAATCTTCCCGTCTGTTTAGAAAATGGGTATTAATTGCATTTTACCCGGGTTCGAACACATGCTTCTGGCACCAGTGAAAAATCAGTCAACCATTCAAATGTAAGTTTAGAAAAAGTAAAACTTTTTAAGTCTCATTTAAAACCTTGAGCCACTTTGTTTTTGTTTTCGCTTCGATTATCACTTGGTGAATTAAACAGTAGTCACAACTTTGAACAAATGACGATATAGACATCATTGCAAAGTAATTTGTTTGCTTCAATGAAGTTTTTATCCCTATATGTACCTACTTAACAAAAAGGAACCGAGTTAGTAAAAAAAAAAACTATAACATGCAAATTGCGTTTTAAAACAAGACTTTTTGTCTATTGTTTTTTGTTTTTGTCATTATCTTTTTAACAGAAGATTTAGATTTCGACTTTAATTCATTTTTATTTTTTTAGATTATTGATTCCGTCTATTTTTAATTCTTAAAGACTTTGATAATTTTTTAAAAAGTTTGGCTAATTCAATTCTTGAATCGGAAAAAAAATCTGACTACTTTTCGTCTTTTTGGGGGGTTAGTTAAAAACAAAAAAAAACCTGTAAATTACAAAATTTGAATTACTTTTTGAAGAATTAAAGGTGAAAAACTAAGTTTTTGAGTTTGACTCACCTACTTCATTTAAAAAAAATATAAATGTCTCGTAGGAATTATTTAGATGAAAGTTTGCCTAAAAGTCCAGTAAACGGGTGTCATTCACAGCTTGAGTTTTATTAAAAACAATTACTGTCGTGGTCTTTTCTTTTTTTAGCTATGCCATCTGCACTGATTTTTGTTTTCAGTGTTTATTTGTTTTCCTTGTCGGTGTAGGAAAAGACCAAATTTCTGGAATTGGACATTGAAATAATTTTTTCTCGAAACTTTAAAAAGTATAATTTCGTTATCAGCCATTTAATAAGAAAACTTTCTTTTTCAGTCTTACTTAACTTTTTAAGTAAGAATATTTTTTTTTTTTTTTTTGTAAATGAACAATTAAAATTAAAACTGAATTGTGGAATAGGAAAAATGACAAAATTAGCATAATTTCTTTTCAGTTTTCATGCCATTAAGCAAGCATTTAAATCATTATTACAAAAATTATCACAAATGAATTCTATTTTAGAAGTAACTGCTGTTTAGAAAAGTTAACTTTTTAAAGAATAAAAATGAAAAAGATGAATAATTAATTACTCAGATCCTTCAGTGATCAATCATTATTAATTTTAAATTATTGTTTATAACTTTCTAGTGTTTATGGCTCTTTTGAATCTGACAAGAAATTGCATACTAAGTAAAATCGATACAATACTGAAAAAAGAAAAATGTCTAACATTAATCTGAAATATTATTGTGAAATTCTTACAAAAGTTCATTATCTTTTATATGACAGTTTTGGTTTTTATTGCTCAAAATTCAGATGTGATAAACAAGAATTTTTTTTCATTTTAAATTTAAATTCACTGTTTTTAATAGTCTTTCTTCCAACATTACAATCTTTTATTCTTTTCATTGTAAGTTTGCAGAAATTATTTTAAAATTTCTGTTTCGATAGAATAGTTTTATGCAGGTGAATAAAGTCTACAAAACAGAAATTATAGAAGTTTTAGCATAAGTTGGTTGTTTATGGACTTAATCTTCTGGAAAAGCAATATTTGACTATTTGTAAATAATTTTGGGAATAAATTTTTTAAAATTATTAAAAACTGGTAATTTAGTAATTAGTTTGATGCATCAGCAGCATATTTATTTCCGATCCATTGTTGTGTATTATTGACAATCATGGAATACCAATTTGGGAGTTGCAATAAAAAGCAACTTGAAATTAAAAAAAAATATTTTCATTTTTTAACAAACTTGATAAAAATGTTTTCGTAATTTACAATTAATAATATTAATGACAATAAGTGAAAGCAAAAAGTATGAAGACACATTCCCTTCTATATTACATAAAAAAGAATTTGTTCATAATGAATAATTTTTTTTTTTTTTTTGCTCAACAGCATAAATTTTCCCCCGAGTGTATCTTTGTAACAACAGTACACTCAGTGTAACCCGGATATGAGAGAAACCCGGATATAAGAGACTTCTTCTCCGGTCCCGACAACTCTCTTATATCCGAGTTACACTGTACAAGAAATTGACTCTGAGGGAAGCTTTCCTTTTTGGATTTCAAATTTCCAGTCTAATTAAACTTGATTTCTCTGACACTTAAGACGCCTAAGTTGTACTCTAAGTCTAACTTGTTCTTTGTATTACTTTTGTTGCTGTCTACATGGATTCATTCTCCATTTATTTTTGTATTTTTTCAAACGATAATGGTCATGTTGATTTGGCTCGGTGGTTGAACAAATGGCCATGGGAAATTAAGTTTTTCATTAAGTCCCTTGAAATACTTCTTTTTTTTTTTTTTCTTAATCATTTCACCCCATGTAAAGCCATTAAGACACAAGAAGGGATTTACTGAATGATTAAGGAGCAAGAACCAGAGAGTAATCAAGTAGATAATGATTGATATTGCATTTAAATTTTTGAATATTAAAATTGTCTGGA